TTTTTTTTTTTTTTTTTTTTTGGTCTAAATTGAAATAGTGTGAATTAGAATAGGAATGGAGTGCAGCGGCACGTTTGATTTCCATTTCTTTGCTAGAACTACTTCGCATTATCTTAGGATAACATTGATAAACCTAAATTAACTTAACTAATTTTGTATCGCATGCTCGATTTCCGTTCTCGTGCTTTATAGATTAAGATTTCTTAGTTAAATATTAGTTTAACTACATTCATATTGTTTATTCTGTGGTGGCACAATGTAAAGCCATACCTGATTTACATGCTTAATGCAGTTATGAAATGGTGTTTAGCGTGATATAATGTTTAGACATATTTTCCATAATAGTAAATTGTATAATGCTCAATAGTTTGTCGCGATTGGCTGGACTTGGTCATATTATTTGAATGATATTTGCGCCTAGTGATACAATGAAGGATGTAAAGGAAAGCTTAACGCCCATTTCTGCGAAGGCAATTATAATCGGAGACATTACTCTTTAGAGTTTAACGGAATATATTTTGTTGCGGTTCTTTAACTAGAGCATTCTCAATGTTAAAATTTAGATGATAACTCTCTTGCAGGTCGAATCGAGATGGGACTTTTCGGGAAGGCTGTTCCTAAAACCGCTGGTACGTTAATTATTTGTGGTTAGGACTATCAGTGATGTTATGTACACCAAATAAATTCCTGACTATTTCTTGTGTGATTTTGCAGAAAATTTCCGAGCTCTATGCACGGGTAAGGAGATAACTCTGATTTAAATTATATATATTCTCAAGTAGTTGAGTTTGAGGATTTACCTTGTATAAGTCAGAATAAAGAGATCTTCTTAACAATTATATTGAATCGAGTTACCGATGCCATAGTAACGTGTAGTACAAAATATTCCCTCTTCTAAGACTCTACTCCACTTCCTTCGTAATCCCGTCAAATAAATTTGATGCCCTACTGTAAGGCTCTAACTTCATTTCCCTCGTAACCCCCTCATAGATTTTAAGGTAAAAGCTGGTTCGTTTTAATAGATGGATTTAATTACAGCAAGCAATGGGTACTCGGACATTTTCCTAATCTTAGGTCTCTGATTCAGCAACTCTTTATGATTTCGATTTTCAGGTGAGAAGGGTGTTGGGCACAGCGGAAAGCCTCTACACTTCAAGGGCACTGCGTTCCACAGGATTATTCCCAGCTTCATGATTCAAGGAGGAGATTTTACCCACGGCGATGGAAGAGGTGGAGAATCAATCTATGGAGAGAAGTTCGCTGATGAGAATTTCAAGCTGAAGCATACTGGCCCAGGTAAAAGATCAACCATACCCTTCCGTGTTAAGGCATTCAAATGGTCCCATAAACATTGTAGGAAATTGAAGACTCACTTTATAACATATGCAGGCCTTCTGTCTATGGCAAACGCTGGTCCAGATTCAAATGGTTCACAATTTTTCATCACTACAGTGACAACTAGCTGGTAAATATCTGTCTGGCATACGTTATTTTCTTGTTAGATCACTAAAAACAAGGCGATGGTTTGAGTAAGAACATGATACACAGGTTGGATGGTAGACACGTTGTGTTTGGAAAGGTGTTGTCTGGAATGGACGTGGTTTATAAAGTGGAGGCTGAGGGAAGTCAGAACGGAACACCTAAGAGCAAAGTTGTGATCGCTGACAGCGGTGAACTCCCTCTATGATGACAACGGACAGGTGGCCATTTATTTTTCCATTCAAGCATTACATAGTTTGCGTTTCTTTTCTTTTTTATATGCTGTTTACGATAGATTTGGTGCACAATGGATTCTCTCTTAATTTATAGTAATGTTTTACGTTCGGAGTTTACTGTCTTTTGTTCTCGTAAATCCCCATTGTTTGGCAAGTAGGTACTTTCGTGATCCTCCCACTCAATGAAATTGGACGGCTAACATTATCCTTTATTTTAACCTTGTTAACCTTTTAATGATGGACACTATCAAAGTTCATAAAGATTCTTCTTATTCGCCATGAGCAACAGTCTTAAAAAGCCTAGGAAAAACAGAATAACTGAGAATCGCCTCCGCCTTCGTTTCGGTTCTGTCTGCGTTCTCAAAAAACCCTTTGTCAATTCCTCTAGCTCTGTCATCTTCTTTACAGAAGTAGATTTTCGTTCACCTGCTGGATTAACGAACTGGATGGAAGCTTTTGCTAAGAATATTCCAGACCTCCATATTGCTTTAATCGTCGCCAGTTGTCATCTTACCCCTTCCTCATCTGACTTTGGCCGTTTATTCTTCATTGAACCGAAGCTCCTCAAGATACTTCCGTTTCTGTCTACTGATTCATTCGTTCCTCTCCCAGAGTTTCAATGTCTTCCGTAGCTGAGATAGAAAGTAAAATGAGAGTGGTTTTCCAGATTCCATTGCTTGTCGACTTTGTATGTGACGGAACAATTAGAGTCGTCGAGATGGTTTTCATTAGCACAGGGATCGATTGGATTTAAGGGATTCATGACCGTTGGTTCAACCACAGGAGTGGACCTATGCGGCTGAGATTTTTATAAAAGTGATCTGTTTCTCAATTTTAATGTTTGCATAATAAAACAATATGAAAGAGATAAGTATATATACAAAGTCCCTGGTCAACAAAAGGAGAAAAGACTAGAAGGATGAAGGTTGACACATTTATACGGATGAGTAATGAAGGTTTATATTACTTTACTGTTTCATTAAATTTTAAAATTTAAAGACGTGAACTAGACTAGACAAGAATATTTTAATTCTTTATTTCATATTTTACAGCAATCTTATCAAATTGGAAGCCTTGAAAAAGTTCTAAATCAGACTCCATTTCTAAATATTTGACTATTATTATTATAAAAAAAACCCCATTGTTCAATAAATTGCTCACTAACAATCAAAGCTTCATAGGACTAATAATACTCAAATCATGAGATCAAATCTGATTACTTGATTTTAAAGAAATAGATTCATAAAAAACCTTGAGTTCAAAAAACCTCTTGAATTCCTTGGTTATTAAACTATACTCATTATTATCCTTGAATTGATCAAGCATGGGAATGTTATAATGCAATCTATATATAACCAATCTCAGGTAATGGGCCATCTTATCTTAGGGTAAATGACATCTTTCCTATTGCATCTATCAATCAAAGTGATCTAGAAAGAGAATCAGAAATATATAAGGAGGGGGAGAACTACAGGGTACAACAACAAAGGCAATACATGACCATTCAATCAGCAAAAGCCAACTTAGTTTGTCGATTAAACTTACAAAGGGCAAGGAAAAATGGTGTAGGGGCATAACTACGAGTTATACACTAGATATGGTTTATTAGAGGCCTAATTTAAGTTGTTCGCCTAACTGTGTAACTACACCCACTTTCTATATGTTCACACAACGAGCTCCAATGCCCTTCCCTTCATCAATTGCGTTATGCGCTAAAAAGGTGTCATACATACATTTATATGTGTTGTTGGACATTTCAATGAATTAGTAGAAATCTTACTCGGTATCGCTATGAGAATCCAGAAAGTTAAACTCTCTGTAACCACTGAGCTTGATCAGTACGGTTCCCCGATTCTCTTCACTCCATTTGATACCCTCATTTTCTAGGAGTTTGATTACCTGCGCCATCGAAAATGTTGACACATTATATGATTCCCTCAAACAACACAACATATGCCAAGTTAGTATTAGATGATTCTCCAAACCCACAACATCTAGGCTTAGTATATAACACATACCGAAGTTTTCAGCTTTGATTTTCCTACACCATGAGATCCACATCCGGTGATAACCCTCAGGGACTGAATGGCTACAATAGCAAATACAAAGAAAAAAAATCCCATTTTTAACCCTCTACTTGGCTCACAGTCAATTTTGACGTTCAACTTTATCAAATCAAACTCAAACTTGAATGAGTATGAAAAATTATTACCCCCTAAACTAAGTTATGTATCTTTCTTTTAATATATATATATGGTAGTTGGATGAAAGTATTTTTGTCGGAATCGAGTGAAGTGAATTGATCGAGTTGGACGTTATTTATCATAAGTTTTGTAAGCTATCAGTTTGTTCTAAGGGAATTTTCTAATTTGTGTTGTGGAGGGGTACTAATTTCTCACCCATCACCAGTTATTCAAGTATAGGTTTCAATTTGATGAAGTTTGAAAAGATGAGGTCAAAATTGACTGAGTGAGCCAAGTACGAGGGTAAAAATGATTTTTTCCAAAACAAAAAAAAAAATATAGTGAGCAAAACAGTGAACATAAAAATTTATCGTGAACCAGGAAGGAGTGCATAAAAACATAGGTATTGGCAGGTGGTATACTCACAGGGAACATAAGATCCAAATAGGAGGTGCATTTTAAGAAGCCTCATTGCCTGTTTCACATGTTGCCCATGCAAATCAATTGTTATCACATTCGCTATCTCTCTATTTCTGCAACAATCAGTAATGGTTGTTTAATTTCACATTTAAAAACGAAAATTGCGGAGCTTTTAAGTTTTAAGCAATAGGATTACCTGGCTATAAATATATTGTGACTTGCTTTGTCATCAGCCTTCTGCGCCTGTCTAGCTTGCGCTCTCCCCTGCACAATCAATAGGTTAAGCTGAGTATGCTATTCTCATCAAAATCTACGTTATTTTACTGACCATTCACAGGGACAGGGTGATTAAAAAGATTTCTGAATTATCCGCTTAATTTAATTGAGAAGTTCATAAAATAAATGGACAAGCCAGAACAGATTCAACAAAGAAAATCTACACACACAAAAAAAGCCAGAAAAATGAACCATGCACGTGCTGGAATTACGCAGATTCGTTTTGACGCGAACAAACCTGCTCTGATAGGTAAGATGCATAACTGCGTTCTCCTTTTGTATACGTCGTTGTTGCCTAAAGAAAAATGCGACCATATATAAGTCTAAACTCGTTCCGATATTAAAAGCCTGTAAAGTACTAAAAGTATATTACCTTCTGGTAATAGGATTTCGCGGAATCCCAATGCTGATTTGCATTTTTCCTGTAGAACTGATAGTCATCTTTAGCTGTAACATTGAACACAATTGGTAGCTAAAGTTAGGAAGATCTCAACAAACAAATTTAGCTTGATTCAATTTTCTTTACATAATTGATGAAAAGGACAGGATGGAAAGAGTATAATACAAAAGAAATAACATAAAGAAGTTGCAAAATTACCTTTATTGTCACAAGTATCCTGGACACAACTTAAGGCAGTGACATCAATGGCAGGTCCCAGAGATTGCATTTTCTTAACCATACTTCTCCAATTCATGGCGCTGGGTTCATATTCAGGACTTCTCGGAACGTTGAATAAAGTCTCTAACAATGTCTGAGGGAGCTCAGATTCAATACGTCTTGAGGGCTGTGATTCTTCGACTTCGGAACCACCAAGAACCTTCACATCATTCCTATTTTTAAAACACGATTTTGATTTGAATGAGACCTTGCGAGTTCAAAATACAGAGCAATGTCCAAGGATGTTATCTCAGGCGCTTCAAAACTCAAAAGACATTTAGAATGATAGATGGGTCAGGTTGAACCCAAAGGTACTACTATATGTTCAATTCATTGAGGTTAAATACAGAAACAGTAATAAAAAAACCAAGTTACCTACAACCAGCAGCAATCGACCATATACTCTCTTGAAATTCACTTTCAGACGAATAGGAGGTAGAATCGGATGCACGATCTATTGACTGTCCACAAAATTCAAATGATTCCATATTTCAGAAAGATGAGTGTAAATTATATAGCAGATAGTAAGCATATTTATCTGCATGATTGAATGCAGAAGGTTTTTCAAAAAGGGGAAAAATCTTCCTCACATTTTCAATCTGTTCAACTGGAGATCTCAAATCTTGTTCGAAGTTAGCACCATTACGTGAGTACCTATCACTTCCAGACTGTCTAGGGGCAGCTAAATCAAGTAAAACATTTAAAGCCTGGGAAGTTAGATAAAACCCATAATTAGAATTACAAAACATGGTAGTAAAAAAATTATTATCTAGCATGTCTACAGTAAATATTCACGTAGTAAATAGGACCCAAATAAGTTACATTCTGTAGAAAACTTCAGACAACACAATATTATAGAAGAAAATCAATATACAGAAGTAGTAAACTCACAGTACCTTCTCCACATCATATCCACATTGACCTGCAGAGACAAAACTGGATAGTCAAGGAACCGACAAAACTAATATCTAAGTTTGTTACAACATGAAAAACACCAAAACAGTAATTCCAAAAGTAACAGAGACGATAATTATAAACGTCTTTTGAGATAGACACCCAAACGAGGGACATGAAACTTGGAAAGAGCTCACACCTCTTCCGACGACCTTAATAATAACTTGATCGTCAACCCTTTTTCTACCAAAATTGTTCTATAGGAGACGACTTTTCATTAGCAATGAAATAATGGAACCATGGGAATAGGGGTACATCCCCAAGCCAATGGGGATTACAAATGGCTCCAAAACAAGGTGGACTTAAGATGTTCTAACTAAATATTTTCCCTAGAAACTTCTCTCCCAATTGGAGCATTGGAACCTGAAATTTGCAATGTGGTTTAGTTACAGCCTTGATATGATGTCTGTATTCTTTCTCTCAAGGTAGGAAAAAAAATGATGCATACCCTTACATTGTGAACCTTTTGGGAGCCAAGTTTAATTTTAGTTATCTCCTTCTTGTTTATCTTTGTAAATCTTTTGTGGAACCTACAGAGTTGTGAATGGCTAACCCGTGTTCTTCAGATGATTCAATATGTATCTTGAAGTTTACTTATAATCTATCCTACATCGCCACATTAGATAATCTACTCGATTTACAGATATATGCGGATGACTTTTAGGTTATTAATATGCATCGAACAAATATGAGTCAAGCTGGAAAAATAGCATCGTTTGCCATTCACACGCCATTACATCTAAATATTTCTCCCATAAACTTTAGCGCGTTAAGGAAAGGGATATGAGGAATATGAACGGTACTTACAGAGCACATCTCTTACGACGGCCATGCTCAGTTCACACTCGTTTCCAAGCATGGAGCAAAGGAACTGCTCCGCCTCCTGTTGAGAAATGTTCCCATGGTCAAACTCCATGAATTTATTCCTCGAATCTCTCTTCAAGGACGACCGAACATAATCCTTCCCTAAAACAGTGGATACTGTTCCCGTGGAAGCAACGATCCGCTTCTGCTTCTTCCCCATATAACCCTTATAATCTAAAACATCCTCCGAAGAATACGAACTCGAACACGAAGCCGTGATCGCGCTGGACGACGAAGTCGTTGTCAGATCATCGATACAGTCGCCGAAGCCAGAATCAAAAGCATCAGCATCTTCGTTCGAGCCGACCCTAGCTTCACGAGAAGCAGGCGCTGCTGGATCGTTCAAAGAAGCCGCCGAGAACGCCTCGGTCACCGCGCCGACGGCGTTAATGTCATCTTTGGCAACAATAATAGCAGCGGCCGGCTCCAAAGCCGCCGGGATCTTCTTCTTCTTCTTCCTATTCCTAGGGTTCTTCATGGGAACCGATGCTAGAATTTATAAAAACAGCTCGAAAATCGGGAATGAGAACGAAGTTTGTGGCGTTCCGAAGAATTCCGAGGCAAGAAATCGAAGAAATCGGGAACCCTAATTAGGTAGTAGAAGGGGGATAGAGATGGAGGTTTGAGGAATTGGGAGAAAACAAGTGGTAGATGGTAATGGGGTCGAGGTTGAAAGCGTGAGAACTGGTTTTTGACGTCAATGATGAATCTCTATCCATGGTCACACGTAAATCGGCCGATTAGATTTAACATTTATAGCCCACAGACCAACAGCCTAAATCCTAATTTCATACTACTTTCTTCATTTTTTTTTAATTCTTAATTTTTTAAAAATATCAAATAAGTTAATAAATCTTTTTAACTTATTAAATATTTGATACTTTATTACCGAATAAATAAAACCCAACTAAGAAAGCTGACACGTGTGGGTTAATTCTTTCTTTATTACCGAATAAATAAATTATGCACGGGCGGAGCAAAAACATAGGATTTATTATTATTGTTATTATTTAGGTATATATATATATAAATTAAATATAATTTTATATATATAAATAAATGGAAATACAGTGATCTCAATTTGAAAGCGCACATATATATATATATATTATATATATGGCTTCCCTATCTTATAGCCGCTGAAAATATATATATATATATATATATAAAAATGGCTTTCCTATCTTATCTCCTCTGAAAATACGGACATATATATAGATATCTATATATAAATGGCTTTCCTATCTGAACTCCCCTGAATATATATATATATATATGTAAATGGGTTTCCTATCTTATCTCCTCTGAAAATTGATGACTTTGACGGAGAGAGCAAAGACGGAAAAGAAAACGAGGATGAAGGCAATGAGCACCGCAACCGAAACTCCGACCATACCAGGCCCATACCCCAAACTTGATTCCAAGTATTCCTTCACAGACCCCTTGAAACCTGGTCCCACTATTATGGTTTCCACGTCACCAAGCTGTGAGGTTATAATACCCCTCAATGTCCACGCCACCGGTGAGATGTAGTAGAACCAAATCCACCATCCCGGAATGTTCTGGTAACATTTTGGTTGTGTATTTTGTGTGTTAGAACAAGATATCAACAATTCTATAGACAAAGACTTAAACTTCTTACTGGTTTTGGAACAAGATATCAACAATTCTATATTATGTAGAGAATTAAACTTGCTTACTGGTTTTGGAACGAGAAAGCCGGAGAGAAGATTCCAGAGAGAGTAGAATGCAGAAGAGACAACCGCCGCCATTTGCTGCGAAGGAGTCAACCCCACCGCCATCATACCATAAAAGGTGAAATACGTGAAGGTCAAGAACATGAAGAGCAGATAGAGAAAGAACTTCCCTGCAAATTTCCAAGCAGAGTTTCATCACAGAAGGGTAAAATAGAGGATAGATAGAGGCATTAAAAGAGTGCTCTGAAGTAGTCTACTCACCCGCATTTCTTTCAAAATTAACCATGAAATATGTGATGACACCAAACAATATGGTCTGCGTGAAAATGTATGGAACCTCCACTAAACCCTGTTATTAAGGATTGTTCAGGATCGGATCCATTCATCCATCCAACATTATCATGCAAAAATGGAATTGGTTTACCTGTGCAAATGCGTATGCAATTGGAGAATACATTCCTGCAGCTTTCTCACGGTAGAATACGGTTCTCTCAATTGAAACGATTGGTTGTACAGAAGAAGCGTTATTAACTCCAAGGAACAGGCATGCGGAGTACAACGCTCCCATTACAACAAGCAGTTGTTGAGTTGAATTCCTGTCCAACATTTCATTGCGCCATTAATTTAATATGAATGCTACAATTTGTTTTTTGTTTAAGAAAAAGAGAGAACTCTACCTTTTCATACCGATATCCCAGAAAGCAGAACCAAAGATTAGTGCACTTATGGCGGTGAAACATAATCTCATGACATTGTATTGGGGACTCCTCCAATAAACAAGTCTTTGCTTCCAAAGGCAAATGAGGAATTGGGATAATGTGGTTTGGGAGTAGGTGGAATTGAACTTAAGTGGCTCTTCGCCATCTTGGGGAACACTAAATTGCTTGATGGAAGTTTCCACGTTCCTACGCAAAGAAATACGTCTAGATATTGTACCAAAAAAGAAGCCAAAATATCATGTTATAATATAACAGCACACCTGTATTGGTCGGAGTTTCTATATATGTCGGCAAAATCTCTGCCAATTCTCTGCTCAGCAGCGGGTGTCGTGACCTCAAGCATCCAAGTAGCTGGATTGTAAGACTCTGGTATTGGAGATATTCCACCAATTCCCTAATAATGATGCAAACATTAATATTATTTGAGCCAATAAGATATGGATTTGATGTAATCTTACCTCAAAATAGTCTATCATTATTTGCGAATGTGTTCCCAACTTTCCCCCATATATAACTCGTCCTCCTCGTTTCATTAGAAGTAACTGCAGAAAAAGTCGGTGAAAAACAGTCGACCGAGCAATAACTATATAATAACATAGAGGGTTTAGCGTCTAACCTCATCGAATGCTTCAAATATGTCGATGCTGGGTTGATGAATTGTACAAACGACAGTTCTTCCTGTATCGACTGTATTACGAACGGTTCGCATTACAATGGCTGCAGCCCGAGCATCAAGTCCAGAAGTAGGTTCGTCCATGAAGATGATGGAAGGATTTGCAACAAGCTCCACTGCAATTGTTAGGCGTTTTCTCTGCTCCGTCGATAAACCAGTACTACCTGGCATACCGACCAATGCATGCCTAAGAGTATCAAGCTCCACTAAACTCATAACTTCTTCAACAAACTCCTGAAAGCGTGCATTAAAATAGCATTTGGGTCATTCGGGCGATGGAAAAACTGTAAAGAAGAATCTAATGAAATTCAAAATGTTTGTACCTTTCGTTTCTTCTGGCTGATTTCTTTAGGAAGACGTAAAGAGGATGAAAATTGAAGACTTTCCTCAACTGTTACTTGAGGGGAGTGTATATCATTTTGCTCTACGTACCCTGATATTCTAGCAAAAGTGCGTTGCTCTTTTGGAAAGCCTGATATCTTAATTTCACCTTCAATGTATCCACCCGTTTTTCTACCGGCAAGAACATCCATCAATGTAGTTTTTCCTGCTCCGCTTGACCCAACTAATGCTGTAAGAACCCCCGGTGAAAATACACCGCTCACATTTGATAAGAGTTGCAATTTCTTTTCGGGTATTCCTTGCTGCCTCATTTCCTGGAAATAAATTGGATAAATTGAATAAATTGGAAATAAATTGCATAAACTCTCGTAGCTTTGTTTTGGATGCTTCCCCAAAAGGCCTCGTACCAATGGAGACGTATTCCTTACTTGCTTCCAACGATCCTCAACAAGGAGTTGCAATTAGAAGGGCATAGACACACAAATTTAAATTTGAAGCTAACCTTGGGAGTATCCACAAAATAATTAACATTGTGAAAAGTCATTGTTAATGGTTGGAATGGCAGAATCATTCCCTTTTTCCCTTTCCTGTCAGCATGAGGAGATGTTTGACTTGAATTCGGAACTTGTTCAACCCCTGCAGATGCAGATAGATTCAAGAGGATTAAGAAATAAGCCCAATTCATGAGGCATACATATGTGAACAGAAATTATGACTGACGATTGTTTGCAGTAGAATCAGCTTCATTGGTATCAGCTAGGATTACAGTCTGGGCTTTTCTTAGCGCTGTAGATAATGAAAAGACAGAGAGTTTTATCATCTATGAATAAAAATATATTTTTAAAAAAGATTATTATTTACTTACGGTGGAGGTGAGCTAAAGCCAGAGTCACCAAACTATTGAAAAAAATTGCATAAACCAACAGCACACCAACACCCAGCCAGTACCAGGAATCACTACTAGGCATGCTATATGCATGGAGAACATTGTCTCCAACGGTTCCATTTCCAGTTCTAGATTTCTGTAAATATTTCAGTAATATACATTAAAATTGAACTAAGTTCCAAAGGGAAAGAACATACGTAATTGTAATTGTATCATACCTCCATCCACCTAGTGGCAGTAAACTCGTTGACAGAAAGAGCACGTTGCCCATAAGTCAGTGGGGACACCCAAAAAGCCCAAGACCACCAGGGCTTAATCATATCTAAAAAAATATGATCATATATCCAGATTAGGATTGTAGTTTAAGCAATTTTTTTTTTTTTTTCTCCATAAACAAATGTAAGCCCTACCTTTTGGTATGATAAATCCACCGAGTAAAAATATAACTAACAAGGCTGCTGAACCAAATGTATTGGCAACTACCATATCTCTAGCTATAGCAGCCATCAGACGGAAAAGACCTATAGCCATTTGATGAACTGAAAAGAGTAGGAACATGAAGCGGAAAAACCTGAAATCAATTCGAAGTAGGCCGATGAGTAACACAGAAGGAAAACTAGTTGAATTTCAAGCGATTTAAAAAAAAAAAAAACTTAGATGAGGTACCTTCCAGCACTAGGGGCAAACCCAACCGTATAATAAACAACACAAGACCACACGACGGCTTCAAGTACTGAATAAGGCACACGCAAAACCCAGCTACTCATAGACCACGTCCAAGAAGGGTGAAACAAGTTATCTCTTTGCTTGTAAAAGACGGGTAGTCGAGATATCATAAGAGGTAACTCAGAAAATCCATTAAACATCATATGCACTAATCCAAAAAATAGGCAAGACAGATAGAGGCTGCCATTTATTTCATCTGTCGGGTGCAATCTTGTTCTTAAAAACATTGTGCATGTAACAAATCCAACGAATGCAACCTACGTAACATATGTATGGAAATAATGAGTTAGAAAAATATAATGATTCCAAAACATTAATAGTAAAAATAAATAAATAAATAAATACCTGACATGTTCTAAAGATATACAGAAAACTATGCCTCTTCATCAAAAGAATTTCTCGGAAAAAGCAAGCTTTAACGAGTTCACTACTTGACACAGCAAATTTTGTTTTAGCCAAAGCTGAAGGATGACTTAATGATTTATCAAATGGAGGATTAAGATTGGACTCCAAAGACTTCCCAATTTTGGAAGTTTTGAATGCTTGAGCAAATTCGGGAACAGAAATATATGTATATGGCCGAGAAGAATCAGCCCAATATTGGGCTTGATCCTTTTTAGACGTGACCTGCCACAAAACAAGTTAGCCAAACTAAATGCAATAAAATGTCAATTTACTAATTTAAAAACATGATCATGTAAAATACCTCTTGTAGAAAATCAGCAACTCCCTTACGAGGTGGTAACTTAAAACCCAATGACTCGAAAAGGCCTAACACCTCTTCTCGAGGGCCTTGATACACGAGATAACCATCCGATAATAATATAAGATCATCAAACAGTTCAAATGTCTCGGGAGCAGGTTGTAACAGAGCCATCAAGACTGTAGCCTCCATTTGATGAACAAAGTTTCTCAAACATTTGACAATTTGAAAAGTTGTTGAGCTATCAAGTCCTGTAGATATCTCATCCATAAGAAGCGTTTTTCTTGGCCCAACAATCATTTCCCCTGTGCGAAAAGAGGTTTAACTTAGTAACAATTGTCGTGTAGCTGAAATACAGTGACGTCGTTGAATGAATTGTTCTTCACTACAGTTCATTAGTAAAGAGACCTGAAGTGACTCTTTTTCTTTGCCCACCAGAGACACCCCTGACCATGTCATTGCCAACCAGTGTCTCTGAGCATACGTCGAGACCGAGCACTTTTAAAATGTAGTCTGTTAAAATACTATGCTTTTTACCACTAACAGATGACGCCTGAAAAAGGAAAATTACAAGATTAAAATACGTTCTTTTAAGTTGGAGTTGGAGGTTCAAATCTCTACATCCCCGCCTCATTTACTAAAAAAACGAGTCTCCATAATGATAGCGCTACATAAAATCAGATAAGGACCTTCATGAATGCATCAATGTCCGGACTAGGCCGTATTTTCCTCTCTTTCTCCAAGTGAGACAGCTCTTTTATATATTCTACAACAAAAGAGAGAAGTAAGAAAACCAATTTGGATGTACCGTAATGAAATAACCAAGCTAAAGCTATGAACTATGTTGCTCTATACAAACCTGCAAAGCCTTCGCTTGCACCTTGGCATCTAGCTGCAAAGTCCAAAGTTTCTCGTACAGTCAATTCTGCTAGGTGATTATCTGATTGACTAATGTATGCAGAGGTTCTTTGAACACAGAACTCATCAAGCTGATGTCCATTATAAGTAATGTTACCAGTTTTCTAGGAGGAGAAATGACAAATCAATGAGGATCCGTTAAGTTAAGATATATAATAAAAAATTAAAATATAAGGCTAATTCATTATTTAAAAAAAATAAATCTGTAAAGAAATTAGCTGAAATAACAAAATTGAGCTCAACACTCTTAATTCTTTTAACTTAGTAATAATTTGGTAATTGATTTTGAAATAATGTAACGTTTTTAGTTTAAAAAAAGTTATATAACATTGCCATTTTAAAAGAATTATGAATTAGTTACTTAATCTTTTAATCTTTTTAATTTTGCCCTTAACACTTAAATTTTTAAATTAGATACTTGTTAAAAAATAGAAGGAAAAAAAACAATTAATTAATTGAGTATATACACATGCCAGTTAGATGGCAGAAGATTAAGTGAAATCATCACATAATTCCGCTCTTCAATAAAATTTAGCTTTTATAGTAACATGATGATATATACCCAAATATGACAATTATTTCGGTGAGATTTAATTGAGCATTTTAAAAGATTAATGATAAATTTAAATTTTTATAAAATATCAGGGATATATTAAGGAAAGGAAATACAGTGAGACTATGATGGGTATATATATATATAGCTATTTTATTTAAATGAAATTTGATGTGATAATTTTTATTTTATAATTTTCCATGGTTAAAACATTCTATAATTCTAAACCAACCAATAATAATAATAAGTAAAATAAATTAAATAAAAAAACCCAACCAAAAAAGGTTTAGCCTCGTGTATAATAAATACAAAGTATGTACCTTTAAATTCCTATCAAGTTTGCCGGCAAGGGCTTTTAGCAAGGTGGATCTTCCAGAACCCGGAGGCCCCAAGAGCAATGTCATCCTAGATTTTCATTAACACTTTAAATCATTTTTCTTACTATAAATAAATTACCATGAATAAATCACTTTGTTTCGGTTTGTTTTAAGTTAACATTATTAATTATTAAAAAAATACATACATGCATACATACATATATATAATTCATTGGCATATTAAAAGATTTTAAAAATTAATCTACGAAATTTTGAATATTGTGTAAATTTATAGTTCTAAAAATTCATAACTAAATAATTACCCTTAAAAAACAATTTTATCTTACCTTCCTGGTTTTACTATGCCAGTGACGTCGTTCAAAATTGTTAATGGATGTCTTTTGCTTTTCGTAATTCTCAAACTCGATAGAATACTCTGCATTAACGCTAAAATTATTAAGAGCAAGCATGAACGGGAGAAATGGAGTACGAATTGAGATAGCCAATAGATGAGCCAAAGATTAAACAAAATTGGTTAAAAAGAAACTGTTGTACCTCAATCACGTCGTATGTATAATTTATTAAAGTGGGCAGAGATCTGGAACCGACTTGCACATCCGCGCCCACTTTCAGGTTCTGAAATCTAATTTCAACCTTCGGAATCGCAACTCCAGCCCTGGCGTGATTAGAAACGTGAACGAAAATAAAATTACTATCAGATGAATTCAATAAAAATAATTACAACGTAAATGAAAGATCAAGAAGCGCGAGTAGAAAATTAATCAAGAATCGGAAGAACATTCATCTCTGCTTCCAAATCGAACATCAAGTAAGGCGCTAAAAAGTTATCGCAAATCCGCGAATCACGTTCGTCAAATTTTTAGCATCACATGTGACCAGGCTTTCAAGTACCGCCAATTTATGACGGTTTTCCTAATCACAATGAGGAATCGTTCTTCAAACAACTAAAGAAAATCCGAGATAATCAACAACAACCTAACGAAATTAACCAGGCGCTCATCAAAAGTTTTCAAGAGAGATTTATCAGAAATAAAATCATTTCAATGGCGATCACCTATCGAGGCGTTCTTTAATTCCAGAAAGCAAGTTGAAATTATCTTGATCCTCTGTTGCCAATGCCTTCTTGACAACGAGTTCGCGTTTGCTCTTATTGAGCTTCCGTACGTCGATGGTTTCCGTTCTCTTAAACCCGTCGTCGCTTTCGGAGGCAGAGATCTCCGACGCATTACGCGTTAACAATGCGAAGTTCGACTGTTTCTGAGACGGCAACCTCTCAATCGCCGCCCATAAAAGCTCCTGCGCATCCCTTGCCACTAATTCGGCATTGGACGGTCTCGAAAACGACTGATCGGTCGCATTGATCTCCAATTCAAAGTACTCGCTTCCATTAGAAGCGGCCATTAAAGAAAACACAGATTCAAATCTTCTGGCGTTCGCCCTCCGGTTATCGCTGTTTGAGACCTCAAGCGCAGCACCGGAGGCAGAAGACGGACGGAGATTGGCTTACAAATCAAGTTAACGCTATTTATTTGCGGAAGGAAGAGACGAAGTGACGGAGGATGAGTTCGTTGCCGCGAATTGAGTAGAACGTGAAATTACCAAACTACCCCTTTCTGGAAATCTGTTGCGTTGTCATCTTTCCAGCTATTGACACGTGTATTACAGTAAAACCAACAAATTTCTCCTTTCCCATCCATACCGGCATAAATTTTTATTTATGCTCATAAAATAAATTAATAACAAAAAAAAAAAACCCTAATATTTTCCATTTTTTAAAACGTGTTACAATTGTAATGTCAAAATCAAAAGCATTCTCTACAAAATTTGTTGAATAGGTTTTCTCAACGATGAACGTGCATTTTTCCCGACGAGTACAAACGGGGGGCGGGAAAAAGTGGTAAAACTCCCTGTAACAGCTCAAACATACCATTAGCTTTGGCCCGTTACGTATTACAGTCAGTCCGTGGTTTTAAAACGTGTGTGCTAGGAAGAGGTTTCCGCTCCCCTCTCCAATCGATACATTTGCGAGAGAGAGGTTTTCGTTTTTCTCTCCAACCGATATGAGATCTCATAATCCAGTTCCCTTAGAGTCCAACGTTCTCGTTGGCACACAGTCCAGTGTCAAGCTCTAGTACCATTTATAACAGCTCAAAAATTGTGTTTTTAGACCGTAAAAAATTTTAAGACGATTTGCTTTCAGAAAAAAAATATCATTAGAGTATAGCGTAAGGGTTAAAAGTAGTCGTAAATTATCTATTTAATTTATATGGTAATTAAATGTCTAAAATCACTATTAATTAAAAAATGGCAGTGTTGGACCATTTTTGGATTTATTTTGGAAGACTTTAAAATATCTTAATTAACCTCGAGTAATTTTGGTGAGTGATTTGGAGATAATTTACTTTTAAAATTACTATTATTTTAAATATTCTATTATTTCACTTTAATTCTCTAAAAAATTATGTGAAATTAATTTTTTTTTCCTTCTAATTTTCTTTTAAAATTATGGAATAAAAAATAATTATGACGATGAAATCCACCGACTAATTAGGCCAATCCCATAAAATTTTAAAAAGATAATAAATAATAATAATAATAATAATAATAATAGCCCATAAGCCATAATTTATTTATTTTTCTAAGAAAAGATAATTTTTTTATGAAGATGGGTTGCTACCACACCCAATAATAAGTCATAAAAAAGAAAAGAAACAAGTAAATAATTTTTTAAATTTTCTTTAAATTTGGAGGAATTTAATGAGAAGCATTGCATGTTAACGTATTTATAACTATCGATGATTTCTATGAACAAAATGACATATCTATTTAATTTACACCACAAAAAATCTAAGCATGATTAAATCTGATTAAAGGAGAGGTTTTATTCGAGGTTGGAAATATAAATTATAGTTTTCACGGTCATTTACGATTCTGTCCTTATTCCGCCTTCCCAGGTATATATTTGGAAATACTAGAAAAAGTATGAATTTTGAAAATTTCTAAGCGATTACGTATTCAGTTACGTAACAATAATTTCCCTGAAAAAGAAAAAATAAAAAAAAAAGGGAGAAAATCGAGGGGTATTATTGGAAAGTAACGATGTATGTAAGCTTCATTTAAGAGACGTACGTGGTCACATGCACGCAAGAACCCATCTGTCAAACAAGTAACCTCTAAAACAAAGCTTCCATCTATGTATATATTATTAAAATTATTTCCTAAAATCGGTATTTATATATACACACATTATTTTTTAATTTTGGTAAAAATTTGTAGGAATTTGTGTATATTTTGGTTATTTGTAGTAAAAAAAAGATTTATAGAAGGGTCGGGTTTGTATGAATATACACACAGATGTGCAAACGCTCGAGTAACAACTATCTAAGAATGTAATGTTGTGTTCGAGAGTGATAATTGTTGTGTTCAAAACGGTGTTACTAAGGAACCAATAAAGGCTTTCGTTTGAAATATTGTGTCCCGGTTGTTACAAACATACTATTCATGATCGGTTTCGTTGTATTGTCACCCTTTTCCAATATAAGAAAGATGCAAACTTACACACAAACCTATTTACTTATATCAACTCAATTACTAATCATAGAATATTCTTTTGGTACCCAAATCTAAAAAAGTCATACGAGTTGTCCCGTGAAATAAGTTGAGTTGACCCGAACACTTGCAAATATAGATAAAAGTAAAGACGGGAACTCAGAGACGATACGATCCCCAAATTACTCAAAATTAAAGGTTAATACTATTTTTTTAAAAAGAAAAAAAGAAGATAAATAGATGAACACACACAAAGTTTGGAAATTATATTACCAACACAAGAGGATGGCTTTAAGATACATACAAATATGAGAGTGCATGTATCAGCCTCCAAAATGCAGCCAAAAAGTGAGCACATCAAGCAGTAAATTACAAGCAATATGCATTGGTGATTCAAAATAAACCTAAACCTAAAATCTTCTATGAACTTAAGGGCTATGGTGGCTAATTTTGGGTTAATCTTACCAAGGGGCTATGGTGATTCAAACTAAACCTACAACATTCTATGAACTTAGGGGATAAATAAGGGGTTGTAGAACTCGAAATGGAGAGGGGGGTTAGTTAAATTAACGTTTCATTCTGCGATGAGTGCTACTCATTTTAGTTGCAGATTTCGTTGACTTTAAGTTTTTACCTTTCGGGGTTGAGGTGAACTTATCGACATCGGAATCATCGTCATCACTTCCATCATTTTTCGACTTGTGCTTGCGTTTCTTCTCTGTTCCGGTGCAAATAACGATTTTCCTTTCGTCCTTCTGCTCTGTTGGTTCATGGTCATCCTTTGGCCTCCAAATGAAAAGGGATCTGAGAGAGCAAGCACAACGAAAATGCTAATAGCATCAATGGATAAACTTGTAGGGGAGGAGTAATCTCCCGGCAACAAGTGAGAATTGAATAGTTGAAGTATAGAAGATTTCTTATAGACATAGCTTAATCTATTAAAATTTGGAGAGTTCCAAAGCCAACTATCATAATAACATTATGGGAAAAGAGTGTATGTATATATATAGAAATGAATTCATGTCAAACCTTGAACTCCCAGACGCCAAAACGTCATCCCGTGGATGTAGCTTGTTCACTGGACTAATTGTGGTTATGTTCGGATCCATTACCTCAGCAACTAATTGCCCTGTGCTGACGTCGATAAAATCGATGGGATGCAAGGCAATTCCATTATAGTTTTCACTTATGTAGCGACCAACAACCGCAAGCGATTCAGACGGGTCCTGCATTGCATATCAAATTGAAATTTCCTAAGGGACAGCAAGGGGGAAGGATAGAGAGAGAGAGAGAGAGAACAAATATCAACATATAAATAAGTTGTTGCGAGATTGTATCACCTTTGGATCCCATTCTGCTCGAAAAGGAGTCAAATGTCTGTTAAAATCATGACTGTGCACAATTTCTCGACTTGGTGAATCCAAGTTGCCAAATATAGAGTCCCATACACGAATGCGGTTATCCTGAGATGTTGTAAGAATTTTGCAACCAGAAATGGGAGAAAAATAAGCTGAATTTACGACCCGTCTGTGTGCTAGATCGTGCAAGGAAGAACCAGCTACTAATTGGCGAATGTCCCATATTCGAGCCTGATATCCAGAAGCTTTTTGTGGTTAGTATGATGGACAGTAACATGCAATCAAATATTGGAAATCTTTGAGCCTGATATCCATAAATTTTTAATGGAAATATGAAAATGTAGCGTTTGTAAGCAAATGATAAAAAAAAAACTGCATGATGTTCTTATTAAAGGAACTCTATCCATCACACATGCACAATTACGGTGGAACAGAACAGAAGATTTAAACAAATAATACAAACGATCAAATTATCTTACAAAATGATCATTTCCGCAACTCAAGAGAAGATCAGGTTGAAGAGGATTAGAGTGCAGTCCAACAACTTTGCTACCCTTCTTATGGATCAAAACAGCCTGCCCAGATTTGTTGTTTGACCTTGTATCCACCCTAAGTGCATCATGTCTCATAAGCAATTACGTTCTAAAAAGAAAAAGAAGAAAGATGCATCTTTGATCATTCAAACAGAAAATGGAAAGAAATCACTTACAAGTATAGAAAACCAAAATTGTCAGCGACAAACACAGCGTGCTTCTCTGGGTTGATATCCATGCCATATAGCATCCTCCAATTATTAGGGCCCTATAGAAGACAACACTGAAGTTACAGTCATTCTTACGGGTATTCCCAGCCCCCACGAGTTTATATATATAGATGTTTGGAATTCGAAATGATGTATTGTCACACTTGGGGAAGGGCTTGTAAAATATGAATACTGAATTCCATGAGGGATTTCTCTAAAAGACCTTTATTTCTAACTTTGTGGAGGAAGCGATCTAAAAGGAAAATTTGATCGAGGCGATATGGAAAGGAAAAAAGGGTTATAAAGACCTGCCAACCATCAGGGTTGAGGTTCATTAATGAAGAAGAAATTCCAGTCTCCATATCTGTGCAACTAATGGTTCCATCAGAAGATGCTGCATATATCATACCGTCATTTGTAGGACTGAACCTGAAATAATTTCGGTGTCATGTTTCCATTAAAAATTGAGTGCGGTTTGCGGTTTACATGATATAACTTAACTCCAGTAAAGCAATTTCTAATGAGCAAGAAAATGAGATAAAAATCAGAAACTACGTGAGAAAATTATTACCTCATGTTATTTACGATACAAGAATGTATGTTTCCATAGACTACCTTCTCATGCACTTTATCATAATCCCAAACTCCAACTTGTCCTTTCTGAGGTAATATATAAGACAAGGAAAATGGAAAGAAAGGGGAAAAAAAAAACGACAATCAGGTTTCTACTTGGAGGTTATCGAAAAGGCTAACAAATGAACAGAAACTGGGATATTTAGTAAACCAGTATAGATCAAATTCACCTTGTCTCCAGATAAAAGAAGCCGATTGTTTGTAGGGTGGAACTCCAGGCACGTTAC